TCGACATGTACTGCTGTCGGATCGCAGGTGTTGCTGTTCAGAATATCAAGGTCACATTTTCTCTTTTCTTTTCTTTTCTTTTCTTAGGGATTTGGGGGTTTCAGCGTCAAAAAAGAATTTACACTTGGCACCACTGTGTAACTTTTGATAATATCAACGATCCAGTATCTCGCAGGTCTGTTATTATGGTCATTATCCATAAAAGCTCAATGTGGATGCTGTGCAGTTGGTGGATCAGAATACTGGATTGTTATGGTCCTACTTTAAGGATAATAAAGCCAAAAACCCACAAAGTTGATTCATCTGATCCAGAGACATTTATAGGTCCAGTTCAGTAGCTGAATGAGTTTCTAAAGGCTTCGACACAGCTGCTTTCACTTTATGTTTGTTTCTTGTAATGAAGCATGAAACTTATTTAGTGTTGCATTAATAGCAGAAATGTAGTGTAATAATTGCTGTTTTTATTGGATTCTATTACGTCATATGTTTACGCAACACTTATTCTTATTCTTCACTACATGTACATGTTTAAGGCTACATCTCCATTCATAACACTGCTATATAAATACCTCTACTTTTGATACTAATTTATATGTTAAAATTCTTACCACATCCTTAAGAAAATGAGCAATTAGTCACAACACTATTTAAAAAGTTAAAGACCTGCAGACTTGGTGGCCAAAGGGTTAAGGTGCTGAACATGAATGGGAACATCTCCAATGCATGTCATTCTCAATCTACCTCCACTATAAAGTACTGTGTCTCCACCTTTAAATATTAATAAAACAGTAAGTTAATAAAACAGTGTGTTTATTATGTTTTTTTTTTATTTATTTGGTTTTAAAAGCACATTATAAAAGACAGCTGGTAGTCCGAGATCAAATAGACGCCCAGTACTGCGTCAATACAACAGCAAGTACACCATAAATAAACAAATAAAGCAACAGTATTAGTGAAACATGCCGTAAAGCATGTCTCCTTTGCTCTCAACCATCCTGGACTTTTTGTCAGTGATACGGGCCTACAACTCTCTCGATCCGTTACGGGAACGAGATCAAAGGCTTCGAAATGGCAGCAAGTCTCATGTCATGTTTAGCCTCGTATGCTAACTGGTGTTTTTCCCCTGTGGGACTGAGGGAGAGATGGGAAGATGATTGCTTTTTTTTTTTTTTTTTTAGGGACACTCCCCCTTGTTCCAGTCTGCTTCAGCCCCTCGTACTCCCCCTTTCTCTCTCTTTTCACTCTTCCTTCCTCCTCTATCTCCTCCTCCTCCTCCTCCAGTGCTAGCAGGATAACATACCGCCTGCCTCTTGTTTGGATAAGTTAATGCTGAGATGTCAGCCTCGATTCTGATGTATACCACCTGCCTTGGCCTCCAGCTGACCTCGTACTCCAGCTCCCACTGCAGAGACATTCCAGTGCTTTTCTGGGGCTGTGTTTACACTGCAACAGATTGCCCTGCTCTCCCTATCTGCTTCATCATAGAGTGGACAGTGGTGGGCCTCTACGCCTTACTCCAGAGTCATCCCAATACGCTTGTTGTTCTGAAGGAGCATGAAAAGAGAGAAGTCAAGAAGATGTTCAAGAGTGTCAATATGAGGTTTTGGACGCATAAATTCAATTCTTACTGCCAGATTCAGAGTAACTGGACGGGGGGGGGGGTTGGTGGACTGGACATCTCTGTTTCAGGCTCAGGCTCAGGAGGGGAGGCCCGCGAGCAGCTCCAGTCATTCAAGTGCCAAGATCCTCCCACTCAACACTGTGAGAGCTCATGTGAACACCATGACCTCACTGCGTCTGCCCTTTAAATGAATTAGAGCTGTTGATTTACAGTTTAAGTCCATGTAAGATCCTAAGCGAAAGATTGACGTCAAATGAAAAGAAGTTTTTTCATTTCAGGAGGCTGGCCAAGTCTTTATCTTGGATGTGGCTCAAATATCTCAATGTTTAATGGGGCAACGTCACTTGAATAAAAACTTGGCGAGGAAAAGTGCTTTCCTTTTGAATTTTTGTGTTTTTTTAATCATTCTTAGTTTGTATAAAGGCAGACATGTTATTGTGCCACTGTTGGCTACAGCTGAACATGCTTGCATTAACTATTATTGTTATGTCTGAGTTTTTGTCAAATCTGTGACCAAGCAAATACCTGATTTTACATAAGACTTCACCAAATGCTCCTCTTGGACAATTATCTGTAGGTAGTGAGATAGTTGATTTGTCAATTTAGTTTTCCTGCAGCCAATTTACTGCTAACCATGCTATCTGTTACACGAGCTGTGTGAGGCTTATGTGTTGATATTACAACAGTCCTGTTAAAGGTCCAGTGTGTAACATTTAGGGGCTTCTATTGACATATTTATAGGTTTTTTTTAAATTTGTGTATAATCACCTAAAAATAAGAATTGTTGTGTTTTCGTTACCCTGAAATGAGCAGTTTTTATCTACAGAGGAAGCAGGTCCTCTTTTACAGAGTCAGCCATGTTGAACCACCATGTTTCTACAGTAGCCCAGAACAGACAAACCAAACACTGGTGGTAGATGGGGGGGCCATCTAGGGGCCTTTTGTGTTTTTCATGGTCACCGTAGTTTCTCCTACACACTTTGAACGGGAGGATGAGGTGAGGGTGTTGTGATCTGTAACTACACCACTAGATTCCACTCAACTCTACTCACTGGTCCTTACAGTACGGAAGCACATTGCATTCACTGGATAAAAAAAAAAATTACACCATATCTCGTAATTATGAGAAAAGATAAAGAAAAAGGAAACGTCTGTAAATCCTCTCTCAGTGGCAGTGATGGCGCTATCGCAGTTAATCTGCTATAACTACCTTCTCGGTTTGAGACACTGGGAAATACTGATGTTTCTTAAAAATGAGGATTAATATTAGTATGTCAACACTGCCTCTTTGTGGATGTGCAGTTAGTGGTTCTGAGTGAAGCAGTGGCCATGTGGCACCTTTTCCTCAGATCTCGTAATTACGAGACAAGTTGTCTAACTTTTTTTTTATCCAGTGACAGCAATGCGTTTCCGTATTACAGAATGTGAACAATTCAGGAAAGAGTGCCTTAATGCAGGGCAGAAGCCATCATTGAGGACATGGAGGAAATGTCCACAGCATCATCTCTGGGAATGTTTGAGCAATTACACACAATTACAAATCACACAAGGGATTTACTATTTATCCATCTGAATTATTTTCCTGGATGTTAAAGGCTTTAAAGGTCCAGTGTGTAGAATTTGGTGGCATCTAGCAGTGAAGTTGCACATCAAAACTCCGTGTTTCAATCTCCCCGTCCAATTGTGAAACAGAAACAATGGTGGCAGCAAAACATGCAAAAAATGTGAATACATTGTTTTTTTTGTCCAGTACAATAAATTTGGCCTGGTGAGTTCTGACATAAAACCTAAAACAACATAAAATTTTGCAGGCGTCAATGTTATAGTGGCCGTGTCATTTCAGTACTACGGCATTAACAACAGCTGGTTTCAATCCAGTCGTGACCACCTACAGAGAGTGTAACCATAACTGATCAAACACCAATTAAACAGTCTTTCAATTTCTGTCACATTCACCACCTGCTGTTTGACCCAACAAGACGAACCAAATTACATTTAAATCACTATCTCCGACACAGCTGAATGTTTAAATATGTACAATTTTGATCATCCTATGACATAAGAACCACTTTGGTGATCTAGACATGGACTTTGATGTATTTGGCAGAAGATGGTAAGAGTCGTTGTGTCTTTGTCTTTACATCTGCATTGACCGGCTGTAGTGTTCAGTATTTGCTCATTGATTTGACCCAGTTTATCTACCAAAATACAGTTTCTACTGTTCATAATTTATGGTCCTAGCTGTGAACAATTATGGATCAATGTTGTTATTCTATCAACCTCAGGGAATTTCATGAGTGAACACTATCGCCATCAAGTGGTAAGTAAAACAACTAACACTTGAAGGGGAATCAAACAGAGATGGGAGACTGAAGGATGTGATGCTAACTGTGTCTGTCAACACAAGAAGCTTTTTATTAACAGCCAGACATGGAAACTGGTTTCATCTGGTTACATATAAAGCTCATCATTATACAGTAAATTATTTGTTTTTTCCTTTTGGGAAAGGCTTTATATTGTAATTTATACCAAAACTAAATGTTTAAGCTGTTGCAGTATTTTGTTTGCTTTGTCTGGGAACATATTTGTAACCTGGATATTGGTATTATTCTTTTTGATGTTTAATTTTCAGTTGTAAAACAACTCTTCTCCTACTGGATACAGACATAAAACCATAGTACAGCATTTGTAAAACTATGACCAAGCTCTAGTACGACAGCAGACAACTCACCTTATGTTTTTGTTCGAGATTTTAATGTTTGAAGGTAAAGTTTCACCTTGTCATTTATTATAAATGTGAATCTTTGAACTTGCTTTGCTGTAATAATAATCACTCAGTTCACTTACTTTGTAAAATTTACATTTGTAGTGCTGTTATAATTTTGAAAGTACATCATCACAATGAACTTATTCTAATAAAACTGAAGGCTGAATGTGACATTTATCAGGAAACAAGTCTTGAATTGGAGCTTTTAAGATACATTTAGTAACAACATGCAGAAAATATACACCTCTGTGAAAGGTGCATCCACAGGACTGATAGCGCCACCATGTGGTGATAACAGCCGGTGCACATACTATACACCTGGCAAAAAAGACAAAATATGTCCAGGAGCTTTTCTATAACACGGTTTAAGACCAACTGAGGATAAATTATCTGTCCCTGCTTTTAATATTAAACTCGGAGAATCAGTAAATAACATTTTATTTTGGGAAACTGTAGTTTACAATGCAGATGAATTGCATTAAATGTAATATTTGCCCACTCCATTTATGCCATATACATATAGACACATAAATAAAGTTAAAGTTACATAAAGTTAGTTATAAGATGTGTGAACTGAAATTTAGTTTGAAGAATAAAAACAAAAACACATCCTTCAGTTTACAAATGTTTAATGTAAAAGACAAAAACAACACAGGATTTGGTGACATGAGGGGAAAAAAAGAATGATTTTGCTCATTTGTCTTTCTCCTTCTGCTCCTTTTCCTTTTTGTCCTTCTCAGTCTTGGCCTCCTCAGCTTCGTGCCTCTTGATGAGCTCCTCCACTTCTTTCTGTTTCAGCACCTTGATTTTTGTCTTCCCGCCTTCCCGTGTCAGAGTGGCAATTTCCACTGAAACCATCAATGCGAAATTGTATAAAATCGGATGGACTTAAAAAAATATCTTGCATCAAGGCAGTAAACAAATTCTGTTATAGTACGTCTAGAAGTTCTAAGAGTTGAGAGTCCTTACAAACTGTTTTTTTCATACAGTTTACTCCTGTTGTACTGCACTTACCACAGTAACACAAAGCTGCTCCAATGTGAGAGTCACTGATACTTTCATTTCACACAAATCAAATCATAATATGCAAGGAAAATGTTGAGAAAGTCCTTCTGAACCTCACCTTTCTCTGCTGAGAGCTTGCTGACATCCATTGTTTTGTTGAGGACTTTAACAGCCAAAGCCAAAGCAGAGGACAGAGTCATCTCTCCCTCTTTGAAGTCCTGCTTCAACATGGACACGGCAGCCTGAGGACAACAAATCACACATCAAACACCATACAGGGGGAAGAGAAAAGTAAAAATGAACCATCATATATAGATACATTTATTAATTTGACCTCTAAATTGTCACCAAAAGTTGCAGAATATACTTATTAGACCAACAGTAACGGCCAGCATAAACATCCCACCCAAAAAACATCAGACAAACATCAGGCAACTCTTAAGAAAAGAAAATGTTCACATTCAGGATCTATATGACACTGCCTGGTGTATCCGTTGAGATCATCTCACTGATTGTTATTATCTGTGTCATTTCACACTTACAGCGCTGTTGTTGCCAATACAGGTTGCCTTCCAGCCTCCGTAGTTGCCGCTGGGGTCACTCTGGTACAGCTGGAAGCCATAGTGTTTGTCCCAGCCCATGTACAGCAGAGAAACACCAAACGGCCTCTTACCTGTCAAAACAAACCACACAGCTGTTACAGAAAGAAGATCCATCTGTGTTTTTACACAATGATGATGAATTAATATAATATATATATTCTACTAGGTTGTTTACCAATAGGACCATGCACACTGCAAATGTTAAAGCCCACAATCTGTTGATCCCAAAGGAGAGGAGCAACAAACTAGAGGAGGACACTACAGTGCGTCTTACCTCCAAACTGTGTGTACGCCTGCTTGATGTCACACAGGGCTGTCACCAGCTGCTCACAGGGTATTGGCTCCTGGTACTGCAATAAATATCTGAACAGAAATTAAACTGGTCAGTGGTTTGTGATGAATGTGATTAGTGGGCGGAAACTGAAGCACAAACATTTAAAAAAAAGTTGTCAAATATCTTCAAATTCTGATTCAGATTACAGTTCCAACAAAAATGTGATTAATAAAAAGTTTAGAAATGAAACTACATTATTTTCACTTTGCTTTCAGGTGCTATTAAATACATTAAGGAAAGAAATTAGTGTATTCATTATCCATCACGTTAAACTAAAACAAAAGCATCTGTGTGTAAAATATTCTGAGCTTCCACAGTCTAGAAGAAGTTTTTGGGACTAAAACTTTAATGTTTGGGGGGTTTTTCTCTGAAAACTCACCTCTGTGCAATTAGCCGCAGCTCATTTGTCAGTACATTTGCATCTGATGTGATCCCAGCAACACTGCAAGCCAAGTCACTGAAAAAAAAAGGACACACACAAACCCACAGTACAATGTTAGCCAGACAAAAAAAAAGGGACGCCTGAGGTTTTTAATGGTAAGAACGGGTCAGGTGCTGGGTGCTGAAGAGTCCATCTGTAGTTCAGTTCACTCACTCGTTGAGCTTGTAGATCTTTTCAGAGAAGAAAACCTCGTCGAGAAGTTTGTGGATGTTGCGTCTCTCTGCTGCTAACAGCACTCCATCATTGGCCAATATCCCCAGACATGTTCCCGCGTGACCGATCGCCTCCATCGCATACTCCACCTGATACAGGCGTCCTGTTAAACACAGTCACAGAGGTTATATTGAGCATACTTTGCAAGAAACAACTAAAATCTTACACTGGAATTCATCTATTTAACTTCACAGAGCCTCAAATTAACGGGAAAGCCTTAAAACTTTGTATCTTTTACACAAAAACTTGCCTAAAACCACAGTATTTACTGTATTAAATATAAAATGTATGGGGTTAACTGAGGAATATAATGGAGGGCGAGTGGTTCAATATAATGTAATGGTGTAGACACACTAACAGGCTTCTTGTATTTCATAATTTCAGTGAATATCATTTTGATTATCAAGCTGTTAAAAAGAAAAAAAGGAGACTTACCCTCAGGGGAAAATATGGTTGTTCGGGAATCATATCTACGAGACTGAACCACAAAGAAAATACAGGTATTATTTAACAAAAAACAAAACTAACTCACACATCTGTGACGAGCACAACAGCCACCTACCATTTCTTGTTGTCACTGAAACCTGAAACATAAACAACAGTAGTTATAAGACGGAGAAACAAGCAGGAACAGAGAGGAAACAAATGTTTTCCTCCTGTTTGTGTCGATACCGGAGCTTCATTTCACACACACACGGAAACAAATATCACCTTCCCAACGACTCCACAAACACAAACTGTCGAGCAAGTCTCTCATAAGTCATTTACACACTTGTTTACTCAACAACAACAACAACAACAAGTCTGCGTTGTTTACAATCCACTTTTATCTGCGCCTCAAGATACACGGCGGCTATGCTAAGCTAACGGAATGAATCTGCACTATCCGAGCACGCTAGCTCCGTTAGCACGTTGCTAGGCAGCGCGTAATGAATTAAAGTCCTCCGCGGTCACAAAAACTGAGGCGGAATTAAAACAACGCCGCGGTAAAGCGTCAAATAGTGTTCCTTTTGTGTTACCTTACGTGGTATTTTGGTGTAAGTTGGTGTTTTTTCTTCCCACAGGCTGAGAGGTTCACTACTTTCGGTTTGGGGTTTCCTCGCTTACTGCGCAGGCGCAGCTCAGCAGCGCCACCTAGTGTACCGGAGTGTGCAGCGTGAGTTATTCTTTATATGAGACTACTTCATAAATTCATAAATAAATTAATAAATAAACACTAATTAAATCCTATAATGTATAACCTTTTATCCCTCAGATATTCCCTCCTCTCCTGTTGTTCCCAATGCGCCCTCAAGGTTTATTTTCTTCCTGCCTGACTCACTTATATCCTCTCTTCCCGATAGTGTCCACAATCTAACAGTATATATTCCACACTTTTCATCCCAAACATTGATCTGATTGACTCAAAAACAATGTTTTATTTAAGGCTGTGTGGTCAAACCTCGGTCTGGTTGCCCAGTTCATTGACAGATGAGGAGGAGGAGGAGGAGGAGCTCTTCATGCTCTTTGTAAAACTCAAGCATTTGCAATTTGATGGTGATGATTTGATGATACCTCAGATATTACTTTATTAAATAGAGAAAAGTAAAAAAAATTAGAAGTATGTAAAAGAAAAATAAGAGTAAAAATAAAAACAGAAGAGCAATTGAACTCATACAAGGCAATAAGTACGTATACAGTCCCCTGTGATCAATGCTGTACTTAATCAAGATCAGTTGCAGACCTATAGCATATAGAGTCATTAGATCGGACATTCAGCTCTATAAATTACAAGAATATGTTGAATTTGCACCCTCAAGAAGAAAAAGCAGCAGCTCCTCTGGGGACTATGCACTCATTATAATGAACTGGAATCTGTCAAACATGCATTAAAAGGAGGGAATTAATATCAACATTTGATGACAGACACAAGAAAATTGAAAACACAATTAATTATAAAAAAAAAAACAACAGGAATAATAAAATAATGGATGTTTTCTGTTTTTTTTTTTTAAATGTTTGTTTCCCTGTCTGGCCACTGCTGCGGTCTGCGGTCAGTCCAGCAGGTGGCGGTAACGCAGCCACAAGCTGGTTTCCCCCAACCGCAGTGAAGCCCGTAGAAGAAGAAGCAGCTCCGCCGTGTATCACCAACGTTTGAATGGTAACAGGAAGCTCCAACTCTAGCTAGCAGGCAGCTAACTCTCCCGTAGCTCTGATAACAAATGTTTTAACGAGCAAAACTCAACAGTTACATATCGATTAATCGGCTGATGACACGAGGCTTCACGTCCGACCGACGTCACGGATATGACTCTGTGATAAACATCTGTCCGAAGAGGTGAGCGTTAGCTCGTCCGGTGTTAGCTTTAAAACAAACCACACGGAAACAGCCAGCAGGCGACGACAGGGACATTTTATCACAACTCCCTGAGCGGGTGTTGTTTGGTGTGCTGTGTTTGGGTTTTATTAATGTGTTGTGAGGGCTCTCAGTCGGCTCCACACCGGCCTCGGGAACACGGTGTCCTCTGGGGGTCAAATACAGTGAAGTGAGTCTTGAGTGGAGGAGGATTGTTGTAGTCAGATCAGAGGAGGAGCAGCACATTAGAGGGTTTTATTCACATTATTATTATGATAGTAACAACCTACAGTTATGTTATTGTTAGTAACCAATGGTTACAATGTGGGTTTTTAATGAAGTTCTGCCTCAGACGGGTTGTTTGGTTGACATTAGTCATCTGTTAAATGTTCTTTTATACCTTTTATACTATAATTATTATCCTTTTATTATCTCTGTGTTAAGCCATTGTGGGCAGTGCTGCAAATCAGTGAGCAATGACAAGATCTAATGTGCTGGATCAGCCTGAGACAGACTGTCTGGTTATTTTATCTACAAACCCTCTATACCTTTTATATTTATACGTTAAATCTTTATCGATATGATATAAAAGCTTGACTGCACACCGTCTCTCAGAGATGATTTTATCTATACTGATAGATACAGATTTGCCACTGTTGCTTTCACATTAACTGTTTCAGCTACTTTTATACATTTTTTGTGGGTTTTACGTTATTGATTACCCTTTTTTTCTGCAGTATGTAGGTCAACGTAACAACACTTGATAAGGATCGTTTGTACTCTTTCTGCCTCTGGTGTAGATTAGCTTCTCTCAAGGTCCATTAGTGGATTGCTCTGTTTTCATTCAGATGTCGATCTATATAGTAGGTCTATGTATATCAAAATGCAATTTCCAAGGTCAACAATGAACTCCCGCTCTTTATAAAAACTAGTTTACTGATTGTACTGTTGTTGTTGTTGTTTATGCTGTCAGGCAGGAATCAGTCTGATGAGGGGGCACCTACGACTGGCAGGATGCAGCAGAAAAGGAACATCCAGATCATCGAGTGGGAGGACCTCGACAAAAGGAAGTTCTACTCTTTCGGGGTGTTCATGACGATGACCATCCGGGCCACCGTCTACCCAGCCACACTCATTCGCACTCGGCTGCAGGTGCAGAGGGGCAAATCCCTCTACAGCGGCACCTTCGACGCCTTCTTCAAGATCCTGCGGTCGGAGGGCGTTCAAGGCCTTTATCGCGGCTTTCTGGTCAACACCTTCACTCTCATCTCAGGCCAGGCTTACATCACCACCTACGAGCTGGTGAGGAAGTATGTGTCCCAGTATACTGATGACAATACGGTGAAGTCGCTGGTGGCGGGTGGCTCGGCCTCCCTGGTCGCTCAGAGCATCACTGTTCCTATAGATGTTGTCTCTCAGCAGCTGATGATGCAGGGCCAAGGGGAGCACCTCACACGCTTTCGACTCAATCTCAACACTGAGACTGGAAAGAAAAAAGTGTTTGGCCAAACTAGGACCATTATGGCTCAGATTTTTGCTGCTGATGGTTTCCGGGGATTCTACAGGGGATATGTGGCTTCTTTGCTCACTTATATCCCAAACAGTGCTGTCTGGTGGCCTTTCTATCACTTTTATGCTGGTAAGTGGCTGAAACTTTAGTTATAAAATCTTATACAAGACCTTGAGCTTGTGTTTTTCCTCTTGTCTTTTCTCTGTGTCCTGCTCTGTTTCTCAGTGCATTTGTAAATCTGTAGTATTGAATTTCACCAGTCATTGCTGTGTGGTTAATCTGGTATCTGTATGTGTAATGTTCTACAGAGCAACTCTCTAAAATGGCTCCCAGCGACTGCCCTCATCTGATTCTACAAGCCATGGCTGGACCTCTAGCTGCTGCCACCGCCTCAACTGTCACCAACCCAATGGATGTGGTCAGAGCCAGAGTACAGGTGACCATCATTTACTGTACAACCATCAGGAAGAGTACAATACAAACAGATTTAAAGTTTTTGCTGTTAGATATTTTTCAATAGCTGCTCCAATAAATTTTAATAATTAGTCACCTTTGTGCACAAGCTACCGTATCACTCTTCTGTAATTTGCATATTTTGAGCTCAAGCTTTTTCTGTCCAGTGCAAGAAGCCAAAAGTTGTGCTCTTGTGACAATGTCTGTATAAAAACAACAGTTCACAAGCCAAGTTATGCCTTGAAGCAAGTCAAGCACCAAGATGAATACACGTTGAGTGTAGGAAGGTATTCACTGATATTAGAAAAGTTATGCCCTGAAGGTTCAACATAAAAACATTTCTGCCTCATTAATCTCAAATATTACTAAGTATATATTTATAATTGACTGAATTAACCGTTCACGCAGCTTCCAATGTAATGTCTAACCGTTGCATATTCATTTCAAGATTAAGCCAAGCTAAGGATTGGTGACATGATCAAGCTTTGGGAAGATTCAGGATTTAATGAACTTTGACTTTAACTTCATTCACTTCAGCAGGTGGTATGTGACGTTCCTGACACGTACTCATTGGACACGAAGTAGTAATCAAATCAAATATAAATGTTCCTTTTGGGTGATGTTCCAATTTACTGTAAAAATGAAAAAGATAAACTTACATTTACATGAGTTGACTTGCAGTTGCTGGCTTTAGGTAAGAACCGTGTGCTCCCCACCACCTACTAAACTGAGACTGCTCTTACCTGAACTAATTCATACACCTGGTACTCATCTGTAATCAATACACACTAAGAAAAACAATACTTCCCCTAGTGGTTAAATCAGAAAGTACATATAATTGGCTCCTACGTAGACTAAAACAATATGTGTGATTCAAGACGGCTGTAATGTACGTTGCATTGCCAGATCGACACTTTGTTTTAGCAGTATGCCGATGATAGAGAAAGGACTAGCTGAACCATAATTCTTCTGGTATAGGAATTATTATTATTATATAGAAGATTTCCTTAAACCACTCACAACGATCTTTGGCGACGCTAAGCCAAGAACACAGTGATGGTGTCCTTGCAAAACAGTAACACACAGATAGCGGGAGGGGGGGGTAATAATAATGGCAGGCGTATACCAACAACTTCCTGTCTGTCAGACTGTTGTTTGACTGAAAATTAACCAATATTGTGCATGTTGTAATAATTAAATTTACTCTCTGCGTTGACATTTTTTATATATTGCCAGAACAAAATAATTCATTATATCACCCAGCTCCAGTCTAAGCTGTTACACTGGTTTGTAATAATAATATAAAATGTACTGTATGTTGTGTTTAGGTTGAAGGGAGGAATTCGGTCATCGAGACGTTCAGGCAGCTGATCAAGGAGGAAGGCTGTTGGGGATTGACGAAAGGACTGTCGGCACGCATCATTTCATCCACACCCACCGCCATCGTCATGGTGGTTGGATACGAGACGCTAAAAAGACTGAGTTTGCGACCGGAGCTGGTGGACTCGAGACACTGGTAGGGGCTACCTGGACAGACAACATATGGACTTATGTGCCATTTTAGCCCTCCTGAGAACACTGGATGAAAGAAATACTTGTTTTAAAATAACAGCCTGGGGAACAAAATGTATCGGGCCACTTTAAACAGACAACAACTAGGCCCAGGTTCACAGTTAGTTTGTGTCGCTGCTTAACAGGGTTGTTGCTTTTTAGTGCAATGGAAAGTGGTGAATGTGATGAAGTTTTAACACTGGAGGATGCAGACAAATTAATGCAACCATATTGGATTAATTGTCTACATTCGGTTAACAAACAAAAAGCTAATGTATCGGTGCATG